GCTGATGCCTTAAGAGTTCCCTTCACTGGACCTAAGGGGCCAAGCCCAACCCCTGAAAAACAACCCCACACCATAATCCCCCCTCCACCAAACTTTACACTTGTCACAATGCAGTCAGGCAAGTACAGTTCTTCTGGCAACCTCCAAACCCAGACACGTCCATCGGATTGCCAGACAGAAGCGTGATTCGTCACTCCAGAGAACACATCTCCACTTCTCTAGAGTCCAGTGGCGGCGTGCTTTACACCGCTGCATCCGACGCTTTGCATTGCACTTGGTGATGTAAGGCTTGGATGCAGCTGCTCGGCCATGGAAACCCATTCCATGAAGCTCTCTACGCACTGTTGTTGTGCCAATCTGAAGGCCACATGAAGTTTGGAGGTCTGTAGCTATTGACTCTGCAGACAGTTGGGGACTTCTGCGCACTGTGCACTTCAGCATGTGCTGACCCCGCTCTGTCATTTGGTCATGGTTATGGCCTACCACTTTGTGGCTGAGTTGCTGTTGTTCCCAGTTGCTTCCACTTTGTTCTAATACCACTAACAGGTGACCGTGGAATATTTAGTAGCCAGGAAATTTCATGGATGGACTTATTGCACAGTTGGCAACCTATCACGGTACCACGCTTGAATTCACTGAGCTCCTGAGAGCGACCCATTCTTTCACAAATGTTTGTAGAAGCGTCTGCATGCCTAGGTGCTTGATTTTATACACCTGTGGCCATGGAGGTGATTGTAACACCTGAATCCAATGATTTGGAGGGGTGTCCCAATACTTTTTACAATATATGACAATATAGTATATATGTATGTATATATAGATGTATGTATGTATACATACAGGGGAAACTCGAAAAATTAAGAATATCGTGCAAAAGTTAATTTATTTCACTAATGCAACTTAAAAGGTGAAATTAATATATGAGATAGACTCATTACATGCAAAGCAAGATAGTTCAAGCCGTGATTTGTCATAATTGTGATGATTATGGCTTACAGCTCATGAAAACCCAGATCCACAATTTCAGAAAATTTTTGGCAGTGTGGGCAGGTGCCAAGTCCTGCTGGAAAATGAAGTTAGCATCCCCATAGAGATCGTCTGCGGAAGAAAGCATGAAGTGCTCCAAAATCTCCTGGTAGACGGCTAAGTTGCATTAGTGAAATAAATGAACTTTTGCACGATATTCTAATTTTCCGAGTTTCACCTGTATATCTTTAATAGTAGCAGTGCAGAATACTTTGGACATGATTTTTTTTCAGGAAAGCTGCATTGACCTTTTTAAAATAAAAAAAGTAATTTATCTAACACTCTCTGGCTGTAGCACTGTTTCAGTGATTTAGCTCAACCAAGCACGCAGACAATGAAATCAGACGAATATCAGGACTCTACAGCATATTTGTTGTAGGTTAGGTGTATAGTTCTGTTTACTTATGATGATTTTGTCAACTGTCAGTCCCCTTTGGGTGTTGCCATATTGTCTCATGCACAGCATAGGGAAGTTAAAGAGCTGTGAGTCATAGCCCATGCACCAAAGACACTTGTGACAGTCACGGGTCATTGGCCAAAGGTTAGAGATGGAGATGATAACGTAGCTGCAGACGTTTGACAAAAAGCAGAAATGTGTTTATCAATAACATACCGTTAATAAGTCTGATTAGGCTGCATATTTTGGGGAAAGGAAGAGTGTATTTGAAACAGCAGATTATGATGGCACGGTACATGCTTTGGGAATGGGAGGGTTCACTTAAATATTTTTTGTCTTGATGTTAGTGCTATAAATATATATAGATCTATTTTGACTTGTAAACTTTTGGTATTTAAATGGTAATTCCACTTTTCCAGGTGAATTTGGGAAAATGGAATTACCGCACCAATCTGCCCCCTCTCACCCTACATAAAATTCAGGACTCTGGTTACATTGTAACAGCCTTATATAGTATATAGCATGATATCATTATGCATGCATATACAGTATACATCAGCTGAAGTAGATCCAGGTCTGCATGAAAGATACACACAGAGGGTGACAGGCCGAACCGCTTGTTAATGTCTTGACAAGTTACACTCCTATAGGATTTCAAACCTTAAACAAAGGTGGCCCCTGCACAATCCAGTGCTTTATTAGTAACAAGATATTGGGAGCTGTGCAGCTTCAAAGAATGGCAGTCATAGGAAACGCAGGGTAAAAAGTCCAAAGGGGCAGATATCTGATATCGACCCTGGGTACCAGCAGGTCTTTGTCAATTTAACAATTTAACTTCTGATTCTCTGCTCTTGGAACTTTATTTTTATAGAGTCAACATGAGGAACTAAGAAAGAAGCACACAGAATTGCAAGGAGATCACCAGAAGCTAGGAGAGGACTTAACAGAATCCTTTAGTCAACATAAAGAGAAATATGTACAGCTGCAGCAGGATAAAGAACAAGAAGTATCAAAGCTTAAAGGTGAGTGCTGTTATTGTCATTCTATCTAACCTATAATGTTGTTGTTTTAGTTTGTACAGCCCAGGAAGTTTGACAGTTTTAAATTACTCCTATAGTAATGAGACTATGTGTACTGTCAAAGCTGTATTATCCATCTCCCAGAATAGAGATTCATGACGACACGCATTCTTGTCGAATGTTGCATTTTCCACTAGAATGCACATAGCTGTATATGTATATATTGTGATCACTACACTGCACATGTATCACTTTGTTTTGCCTGATGAAGGAACCGGATGCATTCTGAAACGTTGCTACACTTGGCAAAGTAACTTTAGATATTGAATAAAAAGAACTTTGCTTGGGGAGCCTTGGGAGTTCTGGTGACTTACTGTTTTGTTTATCAAACGCAGGATAATGAGCCCTAGAACTTGTCACAACTCTTTTAATAATGTGGGATACCTCTCATTTAACAGGTCCTAGTCTCCTATATTTTAGGGCCTTTTCTAGCTCCATATTAGATTGTTTTGTTTGTTTCTTGTCTTACTGTAGCTTTTACGAAGTACTTTGACTTTCTATTCTCGCTTGTTTTTCTGACATGTTAACTGCAGTATTCTGCTGCCCTGTAGAAGGCTAATTCACAAGTATAAAAGCATGTATTCATTACTCTTTATGATAAATACCTCATGTCAGCTCACATGATAGTTGGTTGTTTTTTTGGCTGGGTCAAACTGAAATAGTGTACAAAATAAGCATTGCTGTCCAACTTTTTTAGTTTTGGATAGAGAAGTGTGAGAATCTCTTTCAAGTTTTTATTGCTGTCTGTTTCGGGAGATTTCCCCACTTTTTCTGCCCAGTCCTTATTACACACAGGGTGTCACTGGGACAGAAAGTAAGGAAAATATCTCCAATGGAACAACCACAACAAAAAAGTGAGAGTCTCTTGTCTGGATTTGGTCTTTATTGTTTTTCCATGTTTCCCATCAAAGATATTGAGGGCAATTTATCATAACTGGAGCAGGCACAATCCGGAGCAGCTTTGCATGACAACCAACCAGCTACTATCTTTCATTTCATTCAGAGTATAATGCTATACTGATGCTCATTAAAAGGATAAGTGTCACCTACCTAGTAGAGACAGAGATGGCCTCTTGTGTACCGTCAGTCCAAGCACCCCTGAATGGATCACCAGGTGGTGCAAGGTCAGGATAGAGGGACAGGTTCCTGTTGGAAGTAGCATGGACCACTAGTAACTAGGCTGTGTGGGGAACCGGGCAAATTCAGATCAGGGACACAGCACCTGTGGAACCAGTAGACGGGTTGAACATCAGCAGCAGCATGTCACATGACAGGTGCGTTAAACGAGAACAGGCCGGGGGCCATCATAGTGTAGCAGAGTACCGAAATAGAGCTAGATGCATAGTCACAGAACCAGCAACTGGCCTTCCTGACAATAAATGTGGTTTAACCCTCAATAATGTCCTTGCCTAGCCTCTCCTCATAAGACCCCATACTTTAGTTTTTGTAAGTCTTGGCTTTTATTGCACAGCCTGCCCAGATATTACAGCCTGTACCTTATTCAAGTCATGTCACAGTGCCTGCAGGACATGCTGGGGTGATGATTGTGAACTGGCATAGGGAATTATGGAAGTTTTTCTCTGAACCACGGCATGTTCATGGGCAGCATGAAATGCTTCTAAATTGTACCCCTCTTACTCATCGGTGTCCTTAGCACATCCCTGCAAATCAGCTTTTTAGCTGAGCACCTCTGAGGCTAAGCAGCATAGCTGTCTTTGGGAATTTCAGGCTGATTTCAGAACCCTTAGGGCTCCTGGTGGAATTTTTGGTGCAGCCTAACTTAGAAGGCCATTTATATCAATGGGTTTCCAAAGGTGGCCGAAGAAAGCCAAGCAGGTCCAAGCGGCGCTTGGCTTCCCACAGGATTTCATGCTTGGCATCCCTGCTAATCACCAGCACAGTTTAAACAGGGAGCCCTGCCTGCTTCATCAAAAAAGAAAACCTCTATAATTTATGCTGATCTATCGATAACATTACAAGTCTGCATGAAGAAATACTTTTTGTCATAAAACAAAAAAGTTTTACAGGTGGCCCATTGTAAGGTCCTGGCAGTTCACACAGTTAAAGGCAGCATAATGGAGCTAATCTATGGGAGACCACTTGTTCCCAGCAAAAACATAAAGACAAATGCACAGGTCTTGGGACCTCACATGACTTTGATCTCTCTGTGCCAGCATCTCAGTCCACAAAGTATATGCTGACCCTGTATTATGCCGAAGCAAAGAAGGCTCTGGCCTTCAAGGTAGCAAAGAAGAGGAAGGGATTGTAAGGTAGAAAAGGAAGAGGTCTCTCTGTGAGAGGTAGTAATTACCTATTAATGTTACACTTAGATATTATTTATCAAGTATACGATTATTATCAGTCTATCATGAATGCTGCTGCTAGACTCATCAGCCTAACCAATCGCTCAGTGTCTGCAACTCCCCTCTGCCGATCCCTGCACTGGCTTCCAATTGCCCAAAGGATAAAATTCTAAATATTAACAATGACTTACAAAGCCATCCACAACTCTGCCCCCGGCTATATCTCAGATCTTGTCTCAAAGTATCATGCTAACCGTCCCCTCCGCTCTTTCAAAGACCTCCTGCTTTCCAGCTCCCTTGTCAACTCCTCCCATGCTTGCCTCCAGGACTTCCCTAGAGTCTCTCCTATCCTCTGGAACTCTTTACCCCATCCTGTCCGACTATCTCCCACTCTGACTGCCTTAGGCGATCCCTTACGACTCGTCTCTTCAGGGAAGCCTATCACACCTCAACCTAACCACTCAACCATCACGTTCTCAAACAATTCATCCACACACAGCTACCTCCTCATGTATCACTTCTCCCTCCCTTTTAGATTGTAAGCCCTCACGGGCAGGGCCCTCCTTACCATCTTGTCTTGATTTGTATTGTGATTGTAATGTTTTTCTTGTATTGTACAGCGCTGTGCAAACTGTTGGCGCTCGCTATATATATCCTGTATAACAATAATGATAAAGTTTTACATTTATTAAATGATCATAGTGTGGAATTAATGCACGTAAATCATTAATCAACTACAAAATATCACAACTTGACAAAAATCTTGCATAATTGGTGGTAAAACGAGACAAACATCAATACTGAACGGGAATGCTAGGTTTTGATGGAAAGGCCTTTTGGGTTTTATATTCCTTTTACCAAGAGCTTCTGCGTATATTTGTTCTGCTCTTTGCAGACGTGTCCCACCACAGTAAAAGTAAACACCTTAGCGTGCGTTTATATAAAGACAAGGCCAAAATGCACAGAGGCTAGCAAATAAAACAATGTAAGTGTACAATTTTCAAGAGAGTTTATATATGCCTTTAGATTAGTTACATGAAGGAGCAGAATGGGTTTAGATTTAATTTGTGTACCAATGTTCAAGATTCTGGCACATGATCTGATTTACAGGATTACCAGGTGCAGATGTCCAATCCAAGCTCAATCTATACACAGTAAGGGTCCCCACACACCTTACGATTATCGTACGATAATCACGGGAAATCCCGCGGTCGTACGATGATCGTAAGGTGTGTGGAAGCCGTGCGACCTCTACTACTGTAAGGTCGCACGACTTTAAACTTATGGACATGTTTGAAAACCCGCCGAGCATCGTACGATGTTCGGCGGGTTTGTGGCATGTCCGTACGATAAAAGCCGTAAGGGCCAGTCGGCATTTGTTCGGTTGGAAGCCCGCCCCTCAGGGGGCGTGGCTGGCGTGGCTTGCGATCATCGCAAGTACGATCTGCCTATGCAACATAGGCAGATCGTACGTTTTTTTTTAAGTACCTTACAACCATCGCAAGACAGAAGTCTTGCGATAGTTGTAAGGTGTGTGCCCAGCCTAATAAGCAGTAGTAATCACCAGATGGGCGCTCTCGAGTTCAAGCAAAGGCCAGGGTGGTTGCGCTGTGTAAAACTGTTATGCCCCCCTGCTGGATTCTCCAGAATGTAAAATGAATGAACATATTTAGTGGTGACTTTGCCAACCTCATAAAGAACCAAGGTGGAGGTGGGGGGTGAGTAATATGTGAGGGAGCTCCCGCCTCTGAAATCTCCAAGACATTTAAAATATAGTTCTTTCAGTCAACACGCTTGCATTCATCAAAAATGGATTTTAGATTAACATATATTTTTTTAATATCTGAAGACTCCTAAATTTTAGGTGCAATTTAGGGATTCCGGCATCAGGAATTTAGTGATTTCCTGCAGCAGGAATCCCTAATCTGCCCTTTACAAGCAGCAGCTGTCACCCATTCAAGTTAATAATCAGGTGACAGCCGCTGCATTTGAACGACAGCACACCACATGTGCTACAATTACATGCAGTGTGCGGTCAATCACTCTCCCTGGACGCATTAATTGTGCATGCAGGGATAGTGGTTGATTCCTAACCGCATGTAATCGTATCACATATGATTTGATTACATGCGGTGTGCCGGCGTTCAAATGCAGTGGCTGTCACCTGATCATTAACTTGAATGGGTGACAGCTGCCACTTGTAAACAGCAGATTAGGGATTCCTGCTGCAGGAAATTGCAAGTTCCTGATGCAAGAATCCCTAATTGCATCTAAAATTATATTGTAGGTGGTAATGGAGCCTTAAAGGCAGAAGTGTAAATAAAAAGGTCGAAGTGTAATTAAAAGTCAAACTTTGTGTTAACTACTTGAAACTTACTACTAATAGAATTAACGTTATTGATATTTGATATGCAAAAAGCTAAACTGATTATTTTGTAACCCACATTGAAAATTGAGGAAGTCATTGGGGACAGTACACATTATACATTAGACTTTTAGTTTGACAGCACCTTGGGTATTAATTTTTTCCAGTCTCTCTTATTTCATAGTGAAAATGTCAATATGTGTTGCTGCTCTGCAAACCACTAACCTGAATAACTTGACCTATAATCCATCATCATATTGTGCTCTCTGTTTGTGGCAAATGAATGTTATTCCTAATCAATAAGTAGGTATCTACCCTTTTTATATTCTCTCCAGTGTACTGCATGTTTGATGTACAGATAAGCAGTTGTGAATTCTTTGTGGCTGTTTTTAGCAACAGACATTCCCTTTAACAATTACAGCCCTTTGCTGGAAAGCTGCACACAAAAAAAGCACATTTCTGTTTGCAGTGGAAAATTGCCATTTAGGTTTTACTAAAGTAATTGAACAATTCTGTGTGAGAGACCCATATTTCCAATGCAATGCATAAAGAAATGGGAAGAGAGTATGTTACCTAAGATAAGCATGACGTGGTTTATTTGTATGATAGATGGTTTACAATTATAAAGAATAAATGCTGCACATTTTTCACTTGTGCACAGACCTATCAGTCTTTGGTTGAACATAGTGTTTCTGAATTTCATGCACATTACTTTAGAAAAGCCAGTGTTCAAAATATAGTCTTTAAATTGGATTCCTTTATCACAAGTTACCCTTAAAAAGTGTCACATTTTTGGGCGGTACATGGCATCTGAATTGCTTCCAAACAGTTCTCTGTTTCAAACAACTAAAATATTTTGAGATCTGCTCTATTTATAAAGCAGAGAATTTGACATTCACTGCAGGTGCATGCATTTTAAATGACTGTCATTTGATTCACCACAAGCGAATGTTTGGTCACATTAAGTGGTTTATAAATATGCCCCTATAACTCATATCTTTCCAATGCTGTTAGCAGTTTCCCAAAACTTGGTCTGTGAACGAAAGTTTCTTTGAGAAGCAGCCCTCTGGGATGTACATACCAATGGTTGGGAAACATATATGTGTATAGGCAATGCACTCTACTCTTCCAGTGTCTGTATTATACATTGCATTGATTATCTGCCTTTTAGACCTGATGATAAACTTTTCATGATCATGCTACTGCCCAGTCCAGAATCCCATCTACTTAGCAGAAAACATTGCCATCACAAAGAAAATTCTTATTATTATTCTATTCTTATTCTATAAATATCATTAGAGTGGGCAACCGCTGGGGACAGGTTGGAGCTTCTTTTTTTTTTGGCAAAGTACCCAATGCACGGGGGTCCACAATGGCCTTTTTGCAATAATTCGCCTTTTTTGTCGGACCTATGTAGCAAGCCGCATTAAAGGCCAGTGTCAGCAGCGGTCACTTCAGAACTGCTTTTTTTCCACATTGCCAAGTCCATGGCAATGCAAAAGCAGCTGTAGCAGGTCGAACACAGTTTACCTACAATAAAATCTGAATTATCTCAAGTGTCTCAAACTTATGTCAAAAACACGTTGACATTTAGCCACCAAAGCCTGTTGACATAGGCCCCAACTTTGTTAAAAAGACCTTATCCTTTCCTAGCCACTAACCGAAGGCATATGATGGAATAGCACCAGGTCAGTATGTCTTGCATCAGCTGCCTGCACCCTTCTACTATAAGTTCATGGTCACTACAGCAACCATGAATTTATAACAGAAGGCTCTTCTGAGTAAATGAATAGCTGATCACAACCATTCTTTCATAATATAACTGCCCCAACCCAATCTGCCCCAAACCCTGATAACCACTGCCGCCCAGCCTGTCACTGATCCTCCCCACTGAACACTGTCAATCTGCAGAGACAGCAGGTTGTGGAGGGGACACACAGGCAAGCAGAGTGGCAGCACCCAGCGGGAGAAGAGGGATCGTGACCGGCAGAAAACCGCGTGGTTTCATATTTGCCAGTCCTTCACTTTCCTGAATAAACACCGAAGTAATCAGTTTTGATTACTCCAGTGTTCATTCATATATAGTCATTTTTTCCTCCTGTGAATGAATGGGAAGTGCTGTGTACAGAGCATTATCTGTTCAGTAAATGCTGGGGCTGCAGAGGACATTGAGCACTTAAAGCAGAAGTAAACTACTGTGAGCTGGGTGGGTTGTGCACATGCACATTATTGCACACTTAACTTACAAGTGTGCCCTTCTCCAGCGCTGTTAAAGATATATATGTGTGTGACTCCTCTTCAGCCATTGAGTGGCCACTGATGATGTAGCTCCTTAGTTTCCTCACTTCCGCTTTAATCTGTCTCTCTATCTCCAAAGATAAATAACAGGGGTCTGTATAGACTCCTAATATTTCTATTCAAGCCCCCTACAGTAGAGTTACAAAAAAAATTATAAATAAAGTAATAAAAATCTAAACAAAATAAGAAAAAATAATTACCCCCATGCACACACACACATAATGTATACATGCACCAGTGGGTGCTCGTTAAGGTGCGCAAACCGTGTGACTGCACTGTGAGTTATCGGTTGCTTTTTATTTCATTACATTAATTTAACCCTGCACGGCAGCATGTTGTGGACTGCATAATTTTTAACAACCCACACCAACACAGGGTGCTGCAGATTGAGCATTACCACAACGCATAGGTGTGATGCCAGCCTCCGGATTGTTGGAAGTTGCTTGTAGTTTCGCAAAAAAGGCACAACTTATCATTTACAATATTATTTATTAACTCATTACAGTTCTATCTGTTAAATGCAGTGGGGATTTTGTAAGATTTGTTGTTTTTGTGTGTTAATGATTTTAGTGTGTTTTTATTGAAAATATAATTTTGATAAATATTTGCACTACTACTACTACTACGAGACCTACAAAAGCAGTAGCAACATCTCATTTAACCGGCCCAAATGAATGGTTTGGGGGTCTTTTACAAACTCTGGAAGCTGTAAATGAAAAATAGGGAAAAAAGTGAAACATTGCAAAAATGGTCTGGCCACATGAGGTTAAATGTGGAAAGCAGGGCCTGGCAGTGAAAAGGTTAATCAGCAGCAGGTTAATAGTTATGAGAAATTGTCACCGTAGGAAAGCCCCTTTCTGATGCTGCTGCCTGTGAAAAGCAATCATATACGATGAATGGTCACTCGGGTTTGTATATGATTTGGGCATATGATCACAGTGGGATATAACCCCTGAAGCATGAATATAGCAGGCCATGCATGGGCTAGAAAGATAGGTAAAAACTGTTGCACACTAAATCAGTCCTAGCATTTGACTTTTTTGGTTGTATTTTGTCAGAAATCATTTAATTTCACACTACCTTTTAATTGTTTCCAACAGAAAGCATATACAACCTAAGAGAAGAAAATAGGCAGCTAAGAAAAGCCCACCAAGATGTCCACACTCAGCTGCAGGATGTCAAGGTAGGTAACCATTCTAAAACATAATGAAATAGTGCGAGTATGGGATAATATGCAAAACATAAATAGAATATTAATCTTTCAAAGGATCAGCACCCACGTAAACAAACATAATATGGTAAACTGCTAGCGCAAGCAATTCTAGAAGATGACGAACCTACCGATAAAGTAAACCTAAACACTAAATTGAAGGTAGATTGTGATGACAGCAATTGCTAGAGATTTTCTTCCTATTTATCACTGTGTCCCTGAACAGCTCCTGGGATCCTGTATCCATGCTATAAAAGAGGCCTCAACCTCGGCTAAGTCCAGATTTAGCCCTGCCCCCATGTTCTTTGCCTCACCCCTTTCATGTGAGCTGCCACCTCCAGATTTTGTTGACCTTGCAGAACGTTCATTCTGTTGAATTGGACCTGCCTAAGGCAACCACATTGTTGAAGCAGATGTGCCTTGCAGGGTCCGCAAGTATCTATGGTAGTTTTCAAATTAATATCTATGTCTCTGCGTAGCTGCTTGTTTCAGACTGTGCACAGAACTTCACCTCTGCCCCAGTATTAAGCTCTGCATCTTGTGCCAAGCTTCACTCCTTATTATTCAATGGCTAAAGACTATACAGATTTTGGTGGCTTTGTCATTTGAAAGAAGGGTAAAACTTACAGGGTTATTCACAAAAGGGTGAAGAGTTTGGAGAGGGCAGGAGAAGTGAACAATCTAGGACAATATAGCTGAAATGGAAAATTCTCCAATTCAGCTCACTTTCCAGTCAGCTATGTTGTCCTAGATTGTTCACTTCTCCTGCCTTCTCCAAACTCTTCACCCTTTTGTGAATAACCCTGTTAGTAAAAGGTCTGATGTTTAATAGCAATGGGTGGAGCACAGCATCATGAATGGACCTAAATCTTGGAGAGTATTCAAGTTCTGTAATTGATCTGAGGATCAATTTGGTAACATAGGCTCCACATTTTTTTCAGCCCTGCTGGTTTAAAGGAGCCTTTTTAGGTTTGGTATGTTCAACAAATGCTCAAACTATATGGTAACTAGGCTTGTTTATATGGGCACTACTTCTATTAAGCAGATTTGACAGTTGAATGAATGGACTGATTGACAGAACTATGATAAAAGGAAAAAATTACTTGTATATTAAAGTCTGTCAAAAACAACAACACAGCATTTGTTTTTCTGAATTCCACTGTAACTTTTTTTTAATAGGTTTTAAACATGCCAGCTGGCTCGTTCTTTAACTTCTTTCAGCAGGGTGGCGACTTTGTTCTGTAAGGAAATTACTTAAATTGATTTGGACAGGAATCAAGGTACTGTGTACAGCCTGGCTGTAGAAGCCCAGGAACTGCATAGGGACACTGTGATTGATTTGAAGACTAAAGGTGCCCATACACCTTACGATTATCGAACCGTCGTACGGCGGCCCCATCCTGCCCCGATTATCGCAAGGTTCAATCAGCGGTAGTTGAAAAAAAAAAAACACCTGGACGAATTGCGGTAATCGACCGCACTAATTTTCGTTTGCGCATGAGCAGTGTTAATCGTACGACTTTTGAGGGACGGCAACGCCACCAACCATGCGAAGATCGGTCATAGTTTTCAAACATGCTTGAACGTCAAAAGTCGTACTATTGTACAGTACTGTCGGTCGGGCACTACACATACACCTTATAGTTGTCGTACGAAAAGTCGATCGCATACGATAATCGTAAGGTGTATGGGCACCTTAACACTTGCAGACTGATTACCATATCCATACTATACCCATGCCTATAACTGGGCTTCAAGCTGACAAAAAATATACTTTGTTGTAGCTAGATCAAAATGAGCACCCCTGTAACAAGTATTCATACTGCTTTGACAAATATTCCAGTATTAAAAAACGAAAAGACAACATTGCGGGCACAAAATGCCTTTGCAAACCCAAATATTAGCTTGCAGTAGTAGCAGTGACATATTCACTGTGGTGCGCATAGCCTGTGCTGAAAACAGCTGAGGGAAGGGCCCATTAGGTCTACCCACTACAGGCTGCCTGCAAAAAACTACAGGAGGGGGCAGAGACAAGTCACCCTGCACAAGGAGTGAGCGTTGCAGTGACCAATTTGAATCAAAGCTTTAACTTGTCCGGACTCCTTTCCTCCCTACTGCATTTTTTAATGACCCAAAGTTGGGCTGAAACAGGTTACCCTAAAATTACCGGATTAGATGCAAAGAGACAAGCTCAATGAGAGAAAGATAAAAGCACAGGTTTGATCAGTACATTTACTCTGTAATGAACATGATATAAATGCAGGTTGTATATTCTAGTAGAGGTGTCCCTGACAAATCACTTGCAAAGAAACATTTTAATGGAGTACTTTTTTATTTTGATAGGTTGGAAATTTCTGCCATCTTTTTTCCCAATGTGACAGATGTCCCATTGGGATTATATTTAACATCTCGTATACATAAAATAGGGCATGTGTTAAACAAAGTATAAACTGTGCAAGGCAAATAAATCCCCGGAATGTCATTGATTTAAATCCATATTCTTGTATCAACCTGTGAAAGCTAGCATTCATTTGCTGCTGGCTGTTTTGAGGACACACGGTGTTGAGCATCATCAGATTTATTTGTCTATATTATGGGTTTTATTTTTTCTTGGAAAATACTTGCTGTGTTTAAAGTGGATCTGCACCTAACATATAAGGTTCACTCTTTACGCCCCCTCCTCCCTGTTGTACTGCCATAAATAAGTGTTTAAAAATCACCTGTAAGAGGAAAAACATTTGACACTATGCTCATTTTTTCCCTGCGTCCATGCCTTGTCGAAGGTGACATTATCCTCCTTCCAGTGAGATCTGGGCAATGTAGATCACTCCAAATCTTGCTGTAAAAATGCTCTCAGCACTGTGCTGAAACATCACCTTATGAGATTTGGAGTACTCTGCATTCCTGGGACCTCATTGGAGAATGAAGTTGCGCCCTGTACCAAGGATGAGGGGCAGCACAATTAAACAGTGGGCTTGAAAATGACTTGAAAATGTACCTTCTAGTGTGTTTTTATAGGTAAATTGCAAGTACTACATTGTTTTTTTTAATTATATGATATAATAATGTTCTCATTCGTTACAACATTACAAATATATCATACAAGACTTCTTCTTTCAATATAGCAACAGCATAAGAATTTGCTCTCTGAACATGAACAAGTTGTAATGAGCTTGGACAACCACAAGAGTGCGCTGGCTGCCGCACAGGTTAGATGAAACTTGACAGCTCTGGTATTATAACAGATAACTGTTTACTATGGTTAAACTGCTGCTCTTCTCAGCATGCATGTGAACTTGGCCTTATCTAACCTTTTGAAGTCCTGGCTGCAGTTGTTTCTGCTATAGTAAATTGGGGAGCTATTATCTGACAACACTTAACAAGCATGGAGAAACAAAAACATGTCCTGTCTTCTACTTGTCCTGCGTTATGCATTGCATGGCTACTGTAAAAGAAAGCTAACACTCGTTTTAAAAAGTAAAGTAACCTCTTATATTAACTACTAATTTTACTCTTTAAAAAAAAAAAAATTTCTTTATTTGACAAGTATTGTGAATTGTTTATCTGTAAAAACGAAAAAAGTGACCATATTCATTTCCAGGGGTATATGGTGAGTTTTGCTACCAGAAAGTTAAAGTAACTCCACTTTGTGCATATTATCTGGCATATTGGATCAGCCTTATGAACAATTCCTCAGACAAATAATCTTTTTTATTGTTTTAACAATTTATTGTACCGATGAAATCATTGGTTAAACACAATACATGCACACATCTTAACAATGCTTGTGGGTACAGGAATGCATATTGTGTATAATTTTGTAACTTGTGATGGAAAAATACTCAGGCCTTAAAGCAAAAGTATGCTTATATTTTGCCTTCCTTGGTTCCACCTGTCCATAGCAACATGTTAATGACATTTATAAATAAAACCCTTTGTTTTTTTTTTGTTTTTTTTCACACCCAGTGGTGTCATGCAAATCTTCTTGTTAATTGTTGACCAATTAGGGATTATTGGCAAACTACTGTTAAAAAAAAAAGCATAGGAAGTGCACCGTATACGCTGGCAGCACAGTTTTGTAGATTTTTACAATTTGCTTGGCTTTCATACAGCAGCAGCACCTTAATCTGATTAATTTAAAGGAGATCTATGAGGTGAGTGATTTTCACTCATCCTAATAGTTAGAGCCGATCTGTGACAAAGAAGCTGTCACAGATCGGCTCTATCGATCGGGAAGTGAGAAGAAACATGCAACGATCCGCTTACTTCCCGATCGTCTCCCTGCAGTGATCGGTGACTGTCAGTCACTGCTGCCCGCAGGGATCCCCCCCTCCTCTCTCCGATCCTCCAGTGCTGAGTGGAAGAACACAGGGTAGGGGGCGGGCACAGCTGGCTCTGCCTCTATATGGGCAGAACCAGCTGTTACTCGCACAGCTGGGTTGATCTCAACAGTAATGCTGCGGCGCTCATAGTATTGCCCGTGATATACTGAGCTTTGAGTCACGGGAGGACGCTAGTATATGTCCTCCCGTGACCCTTAAGAGTGCTATGGGGGAAAAACGCTTACCCCAAAGTTCTCTTAAGTTTTACCAGAGACAAAGAGCACAGGTATTTTTCTTCAAGAACGAAGATACTGCAGAGGCTACCACAGTGTAAAATTAGCAGGCCAAATTTAATCGGAGATAATGGGCCTAACCTGTGAAGGCCTAACGTGTGACTGCCTAACTTTTATTGTATCTATGGGGTAGATGATGCCCTTAATGTGAGGTGGTTTATGTGCACACTATTCTTGTAGTTAGTATTCTTTTTCTTTCAAATGGTGCAGTGATATACTACAAACAAAATGCAACCCTAAGAACAGATGATCAATAAAAAGTGAATGCTCCATAATGAGCACCCCAAACTTAGACATAAAATAAAAATAGAAAAACCCACAATACAACCTCTAAAACTTAAGCCATGAAAAAAGCTGTTTAACCTAAAATCTATATTGACCTAAAATGCAAACCAATATACCCTCACAATAATAATAAAAAATAAATTACTACCCCTAAAGCAAAAACCTTTTTTTTTTTTTTTTTAAGGAAACATTTCATAAAAAGAAAGAAAGGTTTGCTATGGATGGGATGGCATCTAAAAGTGTGACCCCTGACCTCAAATCAACTGCAAAATTTAATGAAAGACGTAGCATCCCTCAATAATAGGAGGCAGCAAAGGGGTTTATTCCTGATTTAAATCTCTGAAATTCAGTTTTTTAACTGATCTGTCCCTATGCAGTTTGGCAGCTTTCCCCTCAACAGCTTCCAGTTCACTGACATCATGGCTGCTCTGTGTGTCCACTTCTGGCTGCTGTGTGTGTTTACTTCTCCTGGGTGAATCTGCACATAGATTGACCATGGCCACTAATATTGAACCCACAAGATTCTCTTTGAAGCCATGGCAAACTCAAACCTCATCCCTATTACAAACATTCAACTCAAAGTCCCATTACCTTGGTTTTTCTGTTGGTGAAAACCATAGACCATGGCTGCATAATGTATGATTGGGGTAGACCAATATTGTTTTTCAGCACGGATACCTTTATGGGTCACCTTCCAGGGCAATAACTGATATCTGGTCCCGATATTCTGTTTACATCCAGCAGCTGAATATAAACGGCAGGCAGTCACCTGATATCGGTCAACCCCTGCTAGTGGGCAGGTTCACTAGCCAGCCTGCTATCGGTTATTGCATTTTTAAATAACCAATAGCAGGCTGGCTATTGCTTCCCCTGCTATCTGCTGTTTTTTCTGTATATTAAAAGCGGCCTCTGGTCGCTGTCATAATACTGAACAGAGCCGGCAGCTCTCTTAACTCCCTTATCAATGTGCCCAGGATCACAACTGGGAGACGAGGACAGAACATTGTCACCCTATAAAGGGAAGTTCCTTCATGGTGGATCACTTGGCATTATTATAATGAAAGCTAAACATTTAGAAAAACGTTTGAAATAAAATTAACGTGTTAAAACTTCTATGGAATTATGGTTATAGGGTTTACATGTGCTTTCTCATTTTATTAAATAAAGGATAGTTATTTCCTTTTATGGTGTTTTACACTTTTTTAGCCTAGAAGTCAGTTTTAAACCGTTAATGTAATGGGGAGGACAGTGGAATCTACTTGACTTTCTAATATAGTTTCATAACGGGTACAGAAATGCAACCGTTTTCATAATGTATGAAAATAAACTTTACCTGAATGGCTTTACATCATTGTGTCAGATTAAAACTCTAATTTTGCAAAGCTGTTTCCTCCTGTAAACTAATGTTACCATGTCTACATTCCTCTGCTTAGCAGCTCTTTCCCAAAGAAAATGTTAAAGGGATTTATGTTGCTCTGTTATTTCTGAGTAGTTGCTTCAGAAGCATTTGTCATTATTTTTTCTTCATGACCTACTGCTCAGCCATGTCCTGAATGCTGAAAAACAACTGTTGTCGCCTCCTGACTATATGTCAATTTGCAGTCTGCCAAGATTTGAAGAAGATTTAACCTTCCTTGCATCAGGCCGCAGGATTACATGGCTTTAATTTATTTTCTATAAATCTTAAACCAAGACATCCCTTTGACAGTTGTTCCTTTGGTATTTTGCCTGGAAGTATAATGTTCATCTGCGGGTACGATGGATCTATCATTCATTTACATCTGCAATGTTTTAGGGAATGTTTTTAATTCCTCTAATTAGCACTTCCCTCGTTGCACTGATACCCAGACTGATGAATGGGGGTCATCTGTATATGGATGTGCAAATGCTGCCACAACACTAATTAACTCCACTCGGGGATGCGTGCTGTTAGCAATGCTAAGCATTTGTTCCCTTGGTCTTGTGTGTCTTTCAGAACCAAGTGGAAGAATTTATGCAACTTAAAACCGCTTTGAATAAAGTTTCAAGCCTTCGACAGTTAGAAAAAAGCACAGAAACCACAATCCCCAAAGTGATGCCATCAGTCTCCTCCATACAAGGACATTTAGCAGTACAAGAATCTGCAGTACATAGTAAACTCACACAGGTAAGGCCTGCTGAATATGTTTGTGATTGCTCCACCGGTAGTCAGGCATAAAGATATTAAAGTACACAAAGTAGTTCCATATCCATATAAAATCCAATATGCCGCACAGGTTACTTTTTATGTAGCAGTCCCAAGCTATTTGTTGTGATATATTATACAGTTTGTTAAACATTATTCTTTATGATATGCTCAAAAGGCACAAATTATTATTTATCTAGACTGGCTGATGGACATTAAGGAGGTATACAGACAGCTATTGATTGCACCTGCCTGTTAGGAAAAATGGTCCTAGTACAAGTTTGCTTCATTAGTGTTCAATATTTTCAACAGTATGTATACACTCAGTGACCAATTAAAGTACACCTTCTGATTACCTTGAATAACCAAACGGTAAATCGCATGACATCAAGAATCTCAAGCATGTAGACTTGGCCAGGAGGTTGAACATTTTGAAGATGATTGATCTACGTGACTATGTGAAATTATTTCTGTTACACTACATGGTTGTTGCAGCAGCTAAGAAACTGCTGACCTATTGGATTATTCATGCAACACAGTCACTAAAGCATTGGTAATCAACTTACTTGCCATAGAGCAGTGGCGTAACCACCGGGGGTGCAGCAGGGGGCGCGGGTAGGGCTTCATGTGCAGCCCCTGACCTTACCAAAGGGCTACACATATAATTCAGTGACTGTAATGCAACAGAAAGCTGTCAGAGACTGCAAACATGCTAAAGAAGATGGTCAAAGACTCCGGGCCTGGCACAAGAGATCAGAGACTGCAGACGTGCTATAGGATTTGTTAGAGACTGGGGACTTGTTTCAGGAGACAATTATAGACTTGCATTAGACTGCTAAAGGTTCATGCTATTAAAGCCCTTTACAAATCCATATTACCGCATTTGTGCTCCATACATCCCACTTAAAAGCTACCTTGAAAATTACCTTAAAAAGTGCCACATTGTTCCTATAAACAAGATACATTATAAGATATTAGCTGTTAAACAAAAAAAAGGGATGGAAAGCACAGAAACATTTAAGAACCCAGTCTAAAAAATATTTCCTTCACTTTCCTGAGTAATCACCTAGGTAAGGAAAACATGAACTACTGTCTGTTGGAGCCTAGAGGACCACGCAAAAGGTGCCACAGAGCTACATATGGCCCCCGGGTTGCAGTTTGGGCACCAGTGATCTAACGTTTGCATTTAGTGAGTGGCATATTTTAATAATGAGACAAGAAAAATGGCTTGACATTTAAGCTGACAGAAGGTAAAAAAAAAAAACCAATAACTTCTGCAGTCAAGCCCCCTGCATAGGCTCATCCTGCAGTTCCCTGCTTCTATGAGCTCTCGCTAACATAATTTCAGTACTTTGTGTACTACAGTATTCCAACTCGGTGTCACAGCTCCTCCTGTTTCTTGCAGCAGGAACTGACTGCAGAAAGAAGGTGCCTACAGCACCTGATTGATGGGAATACTGTTTGCTATACTGCTAGGGTAAAGAGATCCTGAAAGTAGGGGGGGAAGAGAGGGCTAGTTCGATTTGAGAGGGGGGTGGCTAGGGTCCAGCTCTTGTCACCCTGTATGTGCTTTATGTGTGATGTTGCACCTCTAAAAATAATAATTATTTTTTACTAATGTGTGCATTTTGAGAATAACACAAGCTTGTTTATGCTTGAATTAAACCCAGTGTTAGCTGACACAGCAATATGTGTAGATATTGAACTTGTATAACAAGGTGGTGCAGAAAGGAACGATATTGTAATCAGGGAAAGGTGGTGTTTGATCACCTGGTTAATTGATTATCTGGATGCAATAGGTTTGCACATTTTCTTTTGACACACCAACTAAACCTTTATACATACTCTACTCTACTCTATACATACGGTACAAGCCTGGTTATAGATCCTGTTGCCCAAAGTCATAGTTACGTATCTGAATTTGTTTTTTGCTTTTATGTTGGATCAGAAATGCTTAAAAAATGGTATATTAAATTGGCTGTGTATGGGAAGATTGTATATCTATATCTAAGTGTTATATGATATATTTCTTGCAAATAAATGTGTGATTATTTTGTTCTTCAGATGAATAGCCAGACCCAAGAAGAGCATAAAGGTATAGTCACCCACAGCAAGCATGTTAACGAAGGAGCTGAACATCAGGATACAGACAGGCCTGAACTTAAGGCAGATGAGGACACTGGGCCACCACAGGAAGCTGGGCCAACTACTGAGCATCCTGTAGAGGTAGAAGATGAGCATAAAAAAGAGCTAGAAGAGGAAGAAATGGAACAGGTAGGGAAGCCTGAAAGGTTGGTGGAAGATCAGGATCAAGTTCAGGAGGAACAGGAGCAGCACAGACAGTCTGAAGATGGGCACAAAGCAGCAGCAAATGAAGAGGAAGAAAGGGAGGAAGAGACTAACATGTTGCAAGAACACAAAAAGGTAAGAGACGTTAGAATGTGCGGTCTCGGACAGCTTTGTATGGGCTTCTTTGTAGTAGTAGTAGTACTTTTATACAACCTAGTTATAGAATAGGATTTCTTGCACAGATATCTCTATTTGATGTGATATTGACTCTGTTTGATGTGGTATTACTTAAAAAGTAATGAGATAACAATGTGATAAATCAGTGTTCGATTCTTAAGTGAGAATTAAAATAATGTTTTTTTCTGTACCCCATGTAAACACATTTCTATTGCCATTGGACATACAGCTAGTCCTCATAATCAATGATTGCTTATTTCCTGTCCAATGTGTGAGCTGCAGGGACAGCCAATGTGTGTTTACCAAAAAGCCTGGTAATGGCAAGTAAATATGGTAGTGGATGTTTGGTATAGACCACTATGTTTTTTTTTTATATTAGAACTTTATTGGCTTTTAAAGATGGTACAGAGAAATGTAAACACTTTCCAACATAAACACCACACATAAGAGAAGCCTAGTATCAGACCCTGAGCCCTAGTTGCAGGGCATATCGCTCAACATGAACCTTGATGTGCCATGCAACAGATAAGATCGTAAACCCTGTATACTTGTTCAAACCCATAGTCACCATATTCGAGAATATGAATCTAAACGGGCACTCTGCAGCCGCAGAACCTCTACCATGGACTGATCTGCAGGCATGTCCACTTCCCTCCATGGAATACTAGGAAAAGTGGCCAGTAGTGGGCCCACAAGCGGGTACATGAGGGTGACTAGTGAAGAACACAGTCAGCAAAGTGAGAGAAAAAAAGAAAGAAAGATCAAGAGAAAATCGGAAGAATATGGTGTAGGTGATGCCCAGAGGACCAACGGGGCAACTGCTGTCATGGTCACTGGAGCCCTAAAGGGACATCAGTCTCCGTTATACAGTTATTTTAATGTTATTAACCCTTGCAGTGGGGCAAGGATTGACTGCTCATTTTGGCCTAGGGAGGAAAATTACAAAGCTATACTCACCCGATGCTTAGAGCTGGCTGGCTGTGACAGTGCTCCTACCAGCCTCTCTTCTCCTATCCTGCAGAGATAGACTGTCCCTCAGCGTCTTCGTGATGATTTACGAGAGCTTGGACCACTGCAGCAGAGGGGGAGAGAGAGGGGCTCCAGGGACCGGTTTGAGAGCTGGACAGCTCAGAGGTTTAGGTGAATATAACTTTATTTACCTCCCTAGACACACAAGCACTTAACCCTTGCAGTGCGGGGGTAGCCCCTCTGCAAACGTTAATAATTATCCATATGCGTTAACTGATTGAGCTTGGCTATCCAGTCGTGAATAGAAGGTACAGTAGCTGATTTCCAATATCTCGGGATTACTGCTCTGGCTGATATAAGAAAATGGCATAACAAGCCGCCTTTGATGGCAGCAAGAGAACATGGGATTGTGGGAAAGTAAGGCCACTTGGGGAATATGGGATGGTGTGGAATAAGTCACTCTATGGTAGGTGTCAAACTTCGCTCAGAAAGGCGCTATTTCCAGGAAATCCCACCGGATGTGGGTAATTGTCCTAATCACGGACTGACAGCGACAACAGGTGTCGGAGCAATCCGAAAAGATCCTATGGAGATCATAAGGACCGCAATTCCTTCTGGTAAGTATCTTAAAGTTTCTCCCCTGGGCAATACTAGCTATCGTCAATTTATGAAACGGGGTGTAGGCTTTACCTTTGTCCATGTCTGTAAAGGAACACCTGACTTCTCGATCCCACACTAACAAAATGAGGGGTAACCCAGATGGCAAATAGTAACAGTTACGCTGTTCTTCAGTTAAAAAAATTATTCGTCATAAGTGCTTGGGAGAAAGCCATAGTACTTATTGCTCACCAGTGGTGGATGTACTCTGTGAGTTCACTGAAAACTGCATATGCAACACCCTCTGTGTTCCATTGTTTGGGTAAAGAAGACAACTGTGCAGCATTTTTTTTTTTTTTTTACAGAAGGATCCAACTATAAAACCTGATATTGGGTTTAAATCTGCATATGAGGAGCGAATGGAACAGCAGAAGCTAGCAGCCCATAAAGAAGAGCAGGCCAGATATCTGAAAGAGCATCGGGATCTACTGCACCAACACATCCTGCAACAGCAGCAAATGCATAATAATGACCTGAATGTGGAGAGGCAAGGCAGGCTGAAAGCGATTGCAGATAGGTATTGAAGATTTTGTGAATATTTAGATTACAGTAGAACTGGGTTTTTTTGTGTTTTCCTGTGGTAAGGACTGCTGGATGGTGAGACCCAGGGAAAAACTAAGCTAGTGGCCTGGAAAGAATGGGGCTTGGGGAGATTTTTGCAACACATATACAATTTCTCACTCTTTTTTCAACCTCCACTATGTCATGTTCAATAGTAAGTTACAATTAAACAATGGCATGACAGTCATAGTGGTAGGGTAAATAAAATGATAAAAAGACAATTCAATAAACATACTTGTGAGGGTACAGTTTTATGGTTGACAATGAAAAATGCATTTTATGTGCTGTTGATAAGAGTTCATTTTTAGGTGCATAGCATTAGCTATATGTTGCCCTAAGGCAGGGAAAGGCAAGACACTTATGCAGTCCTGATAAATTGTCCATATAGACTCTGAATGGCCAGGCATGTTTTTACAGATCCCGGACTAGAAACCTATGTCTCTCATTTTAGGGAACATGCACAATATGATAACCTAGATCAGGATATTGTTCAAGGAGAAGAGGAGCAGCATCTTCAGGAAGAAGGGGGAGGTATGCTTTTATCTGTTATCAAACTAAACCTGTCCATACATGGTATGATACATAAAGTCGATGTAAGCCATGACATCGTGCGATTTACTCCCAAGCAATAACATGCACAAGTTAATACAAATTTACCGTAACACCGTTTCATTTTCAACTTAATGCTCTTTGCACTCCCTATGGGAATTTATTTGGTAAAATGTTTGCCTATTATTTTTAATTTCTAATTAACAGTTAGTTGCTGGTCCATTATAGAACTTGTGTATATATCCTGACAATATTTGGTAAATGAAAGTGTAAACCTTTACTGAGTAGTTTTCTGCATCTTGGGCAAAAGGGTAACCAGTGAGTTTTGAGTTGTGTGCTAATGCTGTAATCACACAGCTTACAGTAAACCCCTTTGCCTTCATGCAACAACACAAACCTTCTTTATTTAAAATGAAAATCTGAAAAATGTATTTACAGATTGTGTATCACAGCTGTATACTTACATCTATACTGACCCCACATATCTGCATTAGGTTGTCATGATGCATTCTCGCGGTGCATTTTAGAATATGTAAGGCAGTGCAGAGGTTTTACAGCATGCTCCAGACTTCGGAATGTTCATATGCAGTTCATTGTAACTGCTTTTTATATTTTGGTAGTAACGGAGACACTGAGATTAGGTCTATGAAAGATTAGTCCTGTTTTAGCTATATGAAAATTTAAAGTGGCAAACCAAGCTAGCCCAAGCCCCAGAACAATATATTGAAATGGCTATTTTGAAATCGGTTAGTAAGGGACATCCAAGGTCGTTTACCTCTGTCTACTAATCGCTCTGTTCACAGCCCAACAATTGTGCTGGTATAACACCGTCCTATTCAGATACCTACCTTTCCCCCCTCACTGCTGTCTGTTGCTGCCACACTGATGAGCCTGCTCTCACTGTGAAACTTCATCTGATTTGCAGAACACATCAGACAAGAGTTAGTATCTGGTTCTGTTGGCTGCTCTGGTAGCTTGCAACACAAACATACTTTCTGACCCTCGTTGCTAGACGGCCTTAACTCTGCTGGTCCCAAGCATTGTGCTTTATTCAGGGCAAAACATTATTAAATCTTTCAGTTTTACAAAATGTTAGTCAATTCACTCAAAAATATTATTTTTATAGGTGAAGACTTGTCAATGTGATCCACACAAATTATATTCCTGCATTTTTGTTTATTTTAGAAGTGAAGTAAAACAGGGAGAATGGGACCTTCTTGGTATGGCCCGAAAATGTAAATGCAGAAATCTAGCAGAAATGCTAAAATGCATAGCAAAATGTTAATGACACTAAACTCAGGAGTTAAATCTTAAAAAGCATTCCAGTACCTTAACTATTAACAAAAATGGAGCTTATTTGTGTATCAGTCAGCTGTAGATCCTCAAATCATCTCTGAATTGGTGCTGACACTGTTCTTCCTTCTGGAGGGGGGGCTACTTTTGTTCCCCATGGTCGCTGTGTGTGTTGTAAAGTATCTTTAAGATCACTCCTGGGATGGACTACAATCTCAATACAAATTAGTAAACTGAATATGAGATTGTAGTCCATCACGGGAGCGAGCATGGAGCGGTGGCTACTTTTACAACACACACAAAAGTAGCCACACATCAGAAGGAAGGTCAGCTGAGTGATACACAAATAATATTTGTTCATATTTTTTTTGTTCATAGTTAGGGTACTTGAATGCATTTTTAAGATTTAACTCCTGAATTTTGTGTCACTTTAAGGTAGTTTGTTGCATAGAGTCTACCAGAATCATTTTAGGATTGATCCTTTAAAATACTGTTCTACATCAGGATACCTTTTAAATCCTGTCCACATCATCATTATATCAGGAAATGATCAAGGCATATGTGGTGTACTACAGATCCCCTCAGATCACTTTTCTTAGGGTTAGTAGTCGGTTGGGTGTGTGGTATTTTTAGTTTAAAGGACATTGTTCTTCCAAGGCTAATGATGAATCCAGGATGTCTACTGAGCACATGGACCTACACACTCATTAGTGGTTGATTTACTAAAGAAGCAGAGACTGTTCACTTAGTTTAGTGGGAAAAGGTAAATCTGTCTTCACTTTGAAAGCCCAAAATTCTACAATAGTTATTCAAAAAACTGTATTTTTTTTTCTTGCCCTGATTAGATAATCTAAGAAAACGCAGCTTCACTGTGCTTAGTGTGTTGCTACCCCTTTAGTAAACTCCATAGAATATCTTGAAAACCAATTTGTAAGCATCCAAACACCACCTTCCTTTCTGGAGGTAGCATTATAGATTAGCCTGTACAGTGAAATTATTCAGAATGAATATTGGAATCTTAAATATTTGATCTCTAACATGAATGAGTAATATTTATAATATAAAGTAATATATTGTAGTCATTACATTTTTGTTTGCATCTACTCATTTTTTAGCCATACCTGAAATTGTTAGCATTTAGTAAGCCCACAAATTAGTCCTTGTGGCGGGCAGACAGCTGGTTGTATAAATTGTTCCTTGTGTATTGGAACTGTTTTTTTTAAATTATTGACCAGAAAACATTTGGTTGTGTTGTCTGGTTACAAATGTAACATCGCTGCAGTGCAGAGAGGACAGCCTCTTTTTAATCCTCACAGTGTGCAGCACAACACAATCTGAGAAAAAAAAGATCTCCTCACCTTAAAGAATGTATATTCAGCAAAGGCAGTCACCGAAATAAAATGATATCTGGCATTCTGCCTGTAATGGCCCTATTACAATACTTTGCTAACAGACTATGACTCTTGTGTGGGGGCAAATGAAGCGACCCTAAAGGAATAAAATAGATGGACTTAAAGAAGGTAATAAATAACAGGAATTTAATGACTGTCCGATAATGCTTCTCTTTGGATCCTCATGGGGTGTTACCCTTTCACTTAGATAGATGTTAACAGCAGACCTGCTGTGTTTTATTGCAGTCTGTGTTGTATATGTGTTTAGAAAGATTTCAGGAAAATAAAAGATTAGAGTGTTTTGCTGTGCCTAAGCCTTTTGATTCATACAGCTACCCAGCCAAAAGCCATTTCTAATTTGAAAAAAGAAGTGATTAAAAACATATAGAAATCATCATAGCAAGGTCAGTGTCCTGTACAGCCTAAATATTAAGCTCTAAAATACCATATAAAACATCCTTCAGTTGTACGATCACTTACAGTTTTCCACTGCAGTTTCTGACATACAATGTGTAGGTAACACTCCCCATGTGTCATCATCGTCCTTATTGATTTGTAAGGTTCCATAGATTATTGGTTATTTATTCTACACAACTCTTTCCAGAAAATAAGTGATTAGGTTGGAGAACCTTCTAGATAGGCCAGTGCCAGGTAATGCCTGCTGCCTCCCCTGTCTACAGCCTAAACTGTTATGCTCATGTGTCCTGCTAATGGGTGAAAGACATTGAGTTGATTGGGACGCTGCTTGTACATTCTACTGTTCTCTGATTTCTGTAGCCATATCATCATCCCGTCTATATTACAGTGTGACAGGGAGATTAGAGCAAGGCTTTATTAAATGCCACTCAAATGAACATTTTGTATTTAGTATCCATTAATCTAAGTATCATCCTGGTATACATTTTATACATCTATTCATGACGGAGTATATTCACTGTCACTACAAGCTTTCATCAGCAATGTAATCTGTAACATTCTCCCTTCTTTGTCTCAAATGGCATGGAGTGAGGCCTTCAGCCAAATGAGAGCACTCTGAGCCATTTGCCTATGAATCAGCAATTGAGAGTGTGCATTGCTTGCTGGGAACAGTTTTCAACCCTTCAAGCATAAGAAACACGTTTGCTGACACTCTTATGAAAACTCACGACTTATATTTGCCTAGATGATGGCATATTTATGCAGACATGAAACACAGGAATTGCACATCTGTAATATTTAGTCTGTACAACACATTCACATAGCTTTATGCTGTACCTTTTCTGCTATAGGTTTCATGTGATGTTTTATTAAACTCTGTAACATAATTTAGGGTTGTCAGCCAAGTGCACAGGATATGCTAACTAAATTTAAAGCCCAACTCCAAAGGAAAACATTTTGGGGTGGATTGGGGAATAGTTTACATTTTTGTCAGATTTTTATTTCTACCTGTGACTCCATTGGAAAGATTTTTTTTTTTACCTCCCCTCCTGTCCCTGTTACACCAGACAAGAAATGGGAGGAGTGGTTGTCACCAGAACAGAAATGCATAGATACAATGGGGGGGATTTATCAAAACTGGAGCAGAGAGAATCTGGAGCAGTTACCAATGGCAACCAATCGGCATCTCTCTTCAGTTTGCTCAGGTAAAATTTGAAAATGAGACAGAGAAGCTGATTGGCTACAGTGCAAATCTGCTGCAGATTTTGTCTGCTCCAGTTTTGATAAATTCACCCCAATATCTTGACAGGAAGTGAGGGGAAATGTCATTAATAGGGGCACAAACCGCACTAAAAACCAGAAGCTGCAATCCTTCTCCAAATTTTATCTGGAGATAAACAAATAATTTAGCTATCTATTTTCAGAACACACCCGTTCCCATTTGTTTACTCATCATTCATTTGTTTGCCACAGCAATCAGGCAGAAATTCACTACCCTTCTGTGAATTTTTATTGCTCGCCTGAGGAAAATCACCGAACCAAGCCAAACCAGCGAAATCCTAATGCTCTAAAACATCTGTCATTGCAATGAATCGCAACCTTCAAGACCTGCATTATTGTTGTCATATAATATATATCTAATGTCATGGCATTGCATTGCAGCATATGAAAGAGAGAATCATCAAGATGAAGCTGAAGAAGCAGAAAATACTGCTAGGAATGCAAACGAGGAGCAAGCTATAGATCAACAGCCTGTAAGCAGAGAGCGGCAAGATGTAAGTGTGATATATGAACATACCTTAAGTAGAAGCCATGATGACATGTTGGATATTAGTGAACCTAGTCATATGGCCAGACCGTACTAATATATAGCACTGCAGTAAATTGAATGATTTACTAAACAACAGATGAGCTTTGTCACCATCCCTTAAGTGTAGTTATCAGTAACTGAGTAAAAATGTTTGAAGACAACTAATGAAGTACTGTAATCTTTCTAATTGATTAGTGTCATGAAATGTATCCTGGTTTATGAAGCTGGGTAGAGCTGCTGAATGTTTGCCTGAAAGTCCACTGATTTTGTATTGATGTTTACACATATGTTTTCATGAGAGTTACAGTTTAAGCTACTTTAAACAAATACAAAGATACAGAATGTCTTGTTGCATTTCTCTGTGCTACACAAGAACTAGCAATTGTGTAAAGAAAAACTGGTAGAGTGGCACCTAGCAAAGAAGTGGTCTAGTGAATGTAAAGATACCTGGACACCTGGAGGATGTTCATGAAGAAGGTTTGTCTTAGACTTTCTCCATCAACTGGATTATATTAGGGCTTACTGGTGACTTTCCAGCCTAGTAGTGATCCACTCAAATATTGTTTAGGTGAGATAAAGTGTGGTGGGAAAAGGTGTGATGGTTGGAGGGCCAGACTGAAGCTCTGGTATGATAGTTGCCATTGTATTGTAACAGTATGGGTGGTTAGCCTTCCTCCCAGTCTGCCCATATCTGTCAGATTTGGTTATCATGGTGGATGGCGAAGTCTATCGCAGATTAAAACACCAACACCTGAATGAGGTTTCTTTGTCATCCCAATCAGAAGTGGTGTAATACTGATTTGCTGTCAAGAGGCTATAGAAAACACAATGGGCCAGTCAACAGCCAGTACTCCTAAATAAAACTGAACTGGAGGCACAATCTATAGTTCCTATGGCTAAAAAATTTGTTTAAAACTATAACCAGATTTGCGTGACAATGTATCCTCCGGAGTAGGGAAATGTGTAATATTTGCCACTTCACCATATATTCATTCACAGAATAGACAGTGTCTACCAAAAGGATAATGATTGTAGATTTTCAGTCTCCACTGTATCTACTAAGTTAATGGTTCAGTGTATGGCCTGCCTAACTCCTGGATGTAATAGTGCCTTAGCTTCCTAAGCAGGTGCTCTTTTTTTATTTATTACAGGCTTTGGTTAAACAGAGGGACAACTAAAGAGCACTCGGGCATACAGCAATTCACTTATTAAATCATGGAAATTTGTCTTTAAGTCAGTGTAAAATTTACTCTGGGTACAACCATTTTTAATGATTTTTCCCTAGTATCCAATTGGAGAGCGGTGTATATATCTCCCCCTAGTTTTCTGTTTTAGTGTCTGGGAACTCAACCCATTTTTTTTTTTGTTGGCACTGGCAGGTTAGTTTTCATGCTGGAACTCAAAGTAGTAAGCTGGTACCCTCCAGAACTTCCAGTATCACCCAGCTGCTGTGGCCCTCACAAAGCCAAACCATGGTATCATTTTCTCTAATGGATTCTCAATTATGTAGAATTTTTGTTTTGTGTTAGACAGCTGGCTTTGTGGAAGGATATGAAACACAAAGTGCAGCAGGTAAATATTGTCACTTGAATTTTGCTAGAATTATAGGTAGCAAGCAGGTTATTCAACCCATCAATTGATACTTAGAACTAAAATATCAGTTTTTGGCTGAACTAGCTTTTAAATAGAAGGCACTCAAATACTAATTTTCCTTTGTGATTGCTCGGCTATTACCGTAATTCAAAAGCAATTTCTATATTTTAGTTTGCTCTGCAACCCAGAATGCCGACTTGCTTTTAATGCCACCAGCTTGCTTTAATGCAACCTATATGCATTTGAATAGCTACTAGTAGTGTCATCCAGTGATACAGCCATTTCCTAAAGGTACCTAGAGATATTAGATGACCGCCATTGATGATCAGCTATTGCCTGAGTGCTCAAAAATACCGCCACCTGTCATTTCTCAGATGAAGAGCAGGCAGACATATTGACAAACATTCTCTGATTGGTTTTGTTCTTGGACAAAACGATTACACCACAAACACAAATGTTTTACTGAGCCACACATTTGAGTTAATGCAAACATCTGACTTCTTTATTTGTGTGGCCAAGTTAACACCAGTTAGCTTGGCCACATAGGTGATGCAGGTGATTACTAATAGAAATGGTGTATAGGTCTGAAGCCACAGTGCCCTGAACAGGGTATTCTTGTGTATGCAGAAAATCGGCACCTGCAATTTAAACTTGTGTACATTTATTGTTATTTTATTACAGCTCAGGTGGTGTTGGACATTGATTTAGTGAGTCTGTTAATGTACCTGATGTTATAGGAATCACTTCTGATTTGAGGCCACTTTAGTGTATCTAAGACAGAGCATAATTTCTGAATGTAAGACCAATTCTTAATTTTGTATTTTTTTGGTTAAGAGTTTTTAGCAGCTCAGAAACTGCACAAACGTTTTGCTTGTTTATCACAAACCTCAATGCAATTAAAGCTCAGGATTCTATTTAGTATAAACCAGGATCATTTCCTTTGTATAACACAGGAAGCATAGCCATGGGAGACAAAAGACATTACTCTAATGTAACAAAAGAACTTCCAGTGTTATGTTAACATGATTTATGCACATACACAAGGCTGCCGCAGACGACGTGAACCCTGCAGATGATCCCAATAACCAAGGGGAAGATGAATTTGAAGAGGCAGAACAAGAGCGAGAGGAGAACCTGCCAGATGAGAACGAGGAGCAGAGGCAGCAGCAAGACCAGCCAGAGAAACAAGAGCATTTAGTGGTAAGAGCTTCTGCTGTGGCTGAATAAAGTGCCAGTTAGAGTCACTTGGAGGCAGAAGAACTCCACAAGACAGGAAGCTAAGAGAAACTCGACAAACTGATAACCCACAGACCCCATCCTACTTTCCAAGCAAATACTCATAGAAAACATTTTTATGCTTCACTTACATAGCAAATGGCTAGCAACCTTTTTTTATACAACACACAGTAATTATTTTTAATGAAATTCTCCCATTTGCTTTGTATCAAAATACAGCAGTGAAAAATAATTTGTTTATGGCCTTAACAGTATGAAATCCAACTAAGGCTGAAATTGCAGTTCGGTGTGCTATATTAAATACACAGAAGAATATAACAATTAAAAGCCTAAGGCCATTGACTTTGCCAGTGGTGAGTGCAGTTGCCTTTCCCATGAATGCACTCACCTCGATCTGATGACAATCTGCGTTTCAATCACTAGCAGAATTAACTGATGTCTATCATGTCTGCATCGAGTCCCGCGTTGGGACCTTTGTCGGTGTGTACTGATGATTGTTGCTACCACAGAGGTCAATAACACAAGTACACCCAGCTTTCAGGCTGCAGTACATGAAGAATCACCTATGAGAAAGCACCTTGGTTCACTGCTGTGTACATGACTCAGATGAAGAGTGTGGTAGTCTCTTTTTTGTTAGTTTTGGGTGTATTCATTAACAAACAAAATGTTTGCCTCTCCTTAGCAAGCATGCTTTTCTTTGTGGATCAGTGAGATTATTAAATGTTGTTTTTTGCTTTTTTTTTTTTTTTTAAAGATGGCTGGGAATCCAGACCAGCAAGAGGATAATGTTGATGAACAATACCAGGAGGAAGGAGAAGAGGAGGTATGTCAAACATGCCCTTTTATCAACACTACATTATTAATCACCAGCTTTAATATAAATAACGCTGTCCCCATGTGGATGCCCTTATTGGATCAACGATCCAGACACCTGAACTTTGTAAGAGTATAAAACACACAGATCTGTGCACAAGTCCAGTGACTGCAACTAATTTCACGACTGGCAGAGTCACACATGGTTTAACTAAGGTTACAGGGGACAAGCGGATTGATGGCTTGTGAGATTAACGTCCCAGTCTCATATTCCATCTAGAATACACATTGCTTTTTTTTTAATCTCAACAACACAATTATTTTTTATACACACTGCTCAAGCTATATTTTTTCCAGACTGAAAACGTATCACATTTTATTTATGGTTCTGTCCGTTCATTTATCTTTTATATTAGGCGGAGCAGGCTTTATACCACAAAGCTGAATTGAGAGCTGTTTGAAGATAGCAAAGTGTACACTTTGCACCCTTATCATTTATTAAGTCTATAAGAGCTACTTGTTTTAAATGTCGTTCATGACATGAAAGGGGTGCATACAGTTGTGCGACGGTTATATTTAGTTGCATTTAAGTTCCTGACGGGATTCGCTCATTCTACTGTAGCCATGTGTCCCCCTGAAAAGCATGCTTCAGAATATGTCATGTACATACACATGGGTTATGGCATTGTTAATGTTCATCTCTATTAAATGCATGAGGAAATATAAATGTTAAATTCCATTTATTCTACAAGACATGTCTTGATTCATTGATATCTTATATGTGTTTAGGTACAGGAGGATCTCACCGAGGAAAGAAAGAGGGAACAAAATGGAGAAGAACCATATGAAGAAAATGTAAGGAATATGAATAGAATTTAAAATTAAGATTTTTATAACGTTAGTGTGTGTTTTTCCATATGTATCCTATTTTTATTATACATACATTCTAAGTAAACATTGTATATTACTTATAAGGCTCAAACCCTAACCTGGTGATTTTTAAAAGTCCCATGCTCATATTCATTTTATCACATCAGCACACCATATCTGTAGCGTCCCTTAGATGTAAAGCTACAAGGACTGTGTAATGTCTGTGCTAAATGGATAAGAAGCAATAACCCTGTGCTGCAGCTTATCCAGTCACCTCAAATAATTGCACAAAGCTCCAACTGACCAGAAAAATGTGCATAAAACCTATAGCAACCGATTTTTAATTTTCTCTTGCATTCAAAAGGTAAAAATGTAATTGTTGCTATTGGCTACAATTGTTTGAATGTGCTTTCTATAGTTTTAATGACTAAGATATACCTCATTGGTTAGTCTAGGGTCCTGTATTGGCTGCAGGCAGTAGGGTAAGGATTTCCCCAATAGTGGAGATTCAATGGGGTAACTATAGGCATAGCATCCTATGCTGTTGCTATAGGGATGGTAGCAGTGCCCCAGTAGAGAGACTGTTGAGGAAAAGTAAATAAAGAAACTGGGTGTGCATGCAAAGATATCACTTGTAATGCCATATGGGTTTGAGGGGGTTGCAGTTGACTCTAATCCCATGTGAAGCCCACCAGACAAGAAGAGTTTAAATCAGATATACAGGATGAGTCTTCAGGTTTGTTACTATAATTACAGCTCTCCCTCTTTTTTTTCTGTGCAGCAGTAGAGCCCAGCCCTCCGCCCCATATGGGAATAAATGTATTGCCTTCAGCACGTCTGCTATTGCCCCGGACAGCGCTTTGAAATTATCTCTGTTTGCCCAACAGTCTCTTCTTGAGGCTTTAAAAAATCCCTATGCATCTTTCCTGCTAAAAACTGATAAGACCGCTAAAATTGGAAGCCATAATTTAACTACTTGCCGTCCGCCCATTTTAAATACATGGGGGGATGGCAACCTCTTCCCAGCGGGTGGATGTACATATAGGTGATTTTTCTTTTCTGCAAGTGCACGCGAGCAGAATCCCGCTGTGTATGTAAACAGCCGGTACTGGCTGTTACATACAAGCGTTCGGCCGGCTGATCGCTTGTATGACAACAAACAGCGTGCGTCCCCCTTCTCCGCTGCTGCACCCCCCTTCACCGCCTCAGCCGGGACTGGCAGAGCGGCTGTGTACTCTGTAAGGGCTTGTTCACTCCATTGCCTGCGTTCCGGTCCACTGCGAACGCAAAAAAAAATGCTGTGTCTCTATTTTTTGCATTCGCAGTGGACCTTAACTCAGGCAATGTTTTGCCACGCGTCCGATCGCACTGCGGGGGCGTGGCTGCGGTGCCATTGACTTCAATGGAAGTTTAGTAAGTGATTGCTGTGCGTTCCAGCAGCTACCGCTCTGGAACGTACCGCAATTGGTGTGAATGGGCCATCAATGGTGGAGAGATCAGCATTCTCCCACTGCTGATTGCTCCTACTCTCTCTAAAAAAAAAACCCCAGTGGTGGGGCAAAAAAAATTCTGCCCCGGGCGCCCATAACTCTGGTTACGCCACTGGAGGGAGGTCAGCATGGTTGATGTGCAGGCAGTGGAGATTGTGCAGGTTGTGGAATGCTATGTAATGTGAGCAGGGCACTGTATACAGGCAGAGACTCGGTCGGCTGCTGTGAGGTCTGTGAGAAAGAAGCCAGCCGGGACCGAATTTCACTTTCACTTTCCCGCACAGCCCTCCTCTGCCAAACCCCCCCTCTCACCTCGCAACTGTAGGAGACATACGTGCACAGAGATGATCACACTCGCCTGCAGCTGCGGCTGTCAGATAAGGTTGTGTAAACCGATGGCAGGGTCTGGTGGGCACGGACACATGCTGTGGGGATGGAAGTAGGTGAAAAGAGAGCTGGAGGGAGGGACGGTGACGGGCCCTGTCCTGGTCGCGGGCCCTCGGTCCATGCCCGAATGGTCAGTCCGCCCCTGCCTTAAACTGTCTACTTGCAATTTTATTTTCTTATTTCGGTTAAGTGGGGGGTCACAAAAAAAGGTATTTTTCTATTCCCAGGCTCATGTGGCCATTAATTATAAGTGGCCACATTAGTAAAAGCAGATTTTTACCCCCTTTCAATAAAAATCATAGCAGTATGCAGCTCTGCATGCTGATTTAAAATCATCTTGCATTCATTAGTTAAACAAAATTGTTTTTCATTTCCCTACAAATAGAGTTCATCTACTTCCTGGTCCAATTCTGGCACAAATTATGTAATGTGTCAAAGCGTTGCATCATGGGAAGGTTACATCAGCAGAACATTGCTGGGAAATCTCATCTGTAATCTCATACGATCTCAGGGAAAGGCATTTTTCTTCCCTGAGAGGATGTGTATGGTCACATGTTTAATCACATGTGCCATAGTTCAAGGAAATAGAGAGATCTAGTAACATGTCCTTAGTTAACATGGCCACTGCCAGAAGACTGGGGAAGAAAAGAGAAATACTGTATGCAAAGAATACAAAGCTGGCAACTATCTAGAAGGATGTGTTTGTAGATTGTCATTACTAAACATTTCTAAAGGTGTGTTTTGTTGTTATTTGAAAGCTATGGGTAAAGATCCGCTTTAAGGTGAGTTCCTAACAAAGTCCTTCTTTAACCTTTTCCCATTTCGGACATCATGTGTAGACTGGTTTGTCTTAAAGGAGAATTTTGACATAAAGCAAAATAAACATACTTATTACCTTTGTACTGGCAACAGCATTGCAGATTTCCAGAGTTACTGCACACCTGAGATATCCTCTTTCCAAAAGACAGTAAACCGCCACCAACAGGCCTGCACCCAGCTTCATTCTTTTTAGGGGGCGCTAACAAGGGTTGCAGCCTGCCCTGCTTCTTTTTTTTTTTTCTTTTTTTCAAGCCTCGTTGTGGCTATGGTTTTCCAATGCGCGCACCTGGTTTCTGCTTCCACATCAATATGATGTCACACATTACAGAAGATGGAGGCAGCGGCTCATTATGGTGAGAAGCTCTCCTGCACTCTCCCCGCACTGTCTCCTCCCTGCTGATCACCTCTCTGTTTGCTTGCCGATGAGTCAGGGAGCGGATGATTCAAGAGCTGGAGCCAACAACATGGAAGGGAGGCAGGTGCTGTGCCTGGGCGAATATTAATGCACTGAAGCGGCTCCGGAATGCGCTGTCATTCAAAGGGAGGAGAGAACATTGTCGGGATTGCTCCTTAGGATAGAGCTTAGCCCCGCCCAGACTCTGTTGATCAACAAGCATATGGTGCATTTTTGATTACAGGAGTACATTGCAATATGTTCTGCTGCCTCATTAGCAGTCTCTAAAAGTGCCCAAAACAATGTACCCCATAGTTCTTTTTTAAGGGCTGGTTCATATAGGGTACAGTGCAATAATGTATGTGCATTTTTGACATTGTTGTGCACGCATTCAGTTAGAACAGTAATGTGCTTTGTGCTAAGTTAGTGGTGTACTCCTGTCATCTTGTTTTGGCAGTGCACCATTACAGCCGACACATTTCCTCCATGTATCCTGCAATCAACTTACAATATGAACTCTTTTGTGTCTGTGCTCAGACAGTGGTCATTATCGTTATGCCAGGCACAAGTTTTTCATGAAACATATATTTTTGCCTATTTCTGCGGTGAGACAGATATGAGAGATGTGTGCTGAAAAATAATTCCTCTAGTCGCCAAAGCCTAAGGGTTTTCTAGCCTTAGGCCATACATATCCAAAAATCGTTAAACAATTTCAAGACAGATTAGACATCACTTATAGTTGGCCGCTGTACTCTGTGTTTTAGCTCCTAAGTAAAAATAAACACTTCGGAGCTTTAGAAAGTTTTCTAAACCACCCTTTCTCAAGCAGGGGTGCCCCTAAAATGTTGTGCCTTTCCATGGTGTCGGTGATGGAATCATCAGCATTGTGGAAACTAATGTCGCTCATCCAGGGATTGCAGGATTCATTCAGATTCACCTCTGTCTAGGCCTGCTCCATCTCTTGCCCTCTGCTTTGCTGCTGCAGTTGTGGCTCCTGATGTGATGATAGGACTCTGATGTAAAGGAAGGATCCCCACTTTTTTTGTGTTTTTGCATGGGGCCCCTTAGCACCCATACCGGAATGTATGTTGGATAAGGATTTGGCATGGATTATTGGACGTCTGTTTTTTTTGCATGTTAGACTAGGGTGCCTTGAGATTTTGCATACCTGCAGGGCTTTTGTCATGGATAAAGGTCCAGGTTTGACTTTACAGTGAAGAGCAGTTCCTTCGTTGACAGATCTACCCCTGTATGGCAGCCTTTATCGTACTGACCATTTCAAACATATAAACTACAGTTAAGGTGTCTTCGTAATCACCCTATAAATAAATGCACATATGGAAAAAAAACCTTTATTACCATCACTCCTAACTGTATAAATCCCATAGCAAAGCCAGATTGCGTCAACACTGATAGATGGGAACGTTGTGAGGCAGATATCAAGTAACCTTATTTGCTGACATTTTCTGTGACCCTCCACACTCTTGGGAGTTTGTGTTGTGACATAGTTTTCACTTGACTTCCTTGTGCTCTTTATACTTTGCAGATGTCACATATGGCGGTTATTTCAGTATTCAGGAGTCTGCCGAAGTCACATTGTCACTCTACTAGAACCCATCCAAGGCCCTTTTTATGTTCAGATTATTCGTTTCTAATTTCACTTCTGCTATTTAAAAAGAGAAGAGGAGGGCACACTATAAAGATTACAGCATTAAACAATGGGGGTTGTTTTTGTGCACATGTAAGATAAATGTGCCATTGATGGTAAAAGCTACTGTTCAGAAAGTAACGATTTACCTTTATTGTTGATGGGTGGTTTCTTAGTGGTGGGTTAGTATTAGATTCCTGTTTAGTATTAGATTCATGTTGCTCTGACCAGGATTTTTAAAGTATAACTTATATTCCCTTCACTTGCATTGCAAAAACAGAAGAGCTAGAACTGAAGTTTAAGCTTAAATCTTAAAGGGTCAGTCAGGGCCAGAATACAGCCTGCAGGCTGGTGTGTATTTAAATTGGATGAAAACCCAAAGTGAATGACAAGTGTTCTGCTAAATCACTGTATATCATAAACTGCCATTTGTTTAATGCTTCTTCTTTCCTTTTTCCCTACTTTTATTGTTACCTCTCATTTTTGATAATCTTCTGCAGTCTCTTTGCAACCACTTCCTGCCTGCATACACTCCAGCAATGTCAGTATGGCACTTCTCAGGACAAGGGATGAGCTTTGGTTTGGAACTAACAGAGTCCAGACCTGAGCTCCTCCAAACCCAGAAGCAAGAAGAAGCCACCTACCCAATTAACTGCAAATATTCAAAGGGATGCGATGCTTGTGACCTTATGGACCACATGGACATAGTTGGTCAATGTCATTGACCAAATATAGCCATGTGGCCATATAAAGTCAATGACGTCACAGCATCCTGTCCCATTGTTTAAAGTGACACTAAACTCAGGAGTTCAATCTTTTAAATTCATTCAAATACCCTAACTATTAACAAAAATATCTTATTTGTGTATCACTCGGCTGTAGATCCTCAAATCATCTCTGAATTTGTGCTGACACTGTCCTTCCTTCTGGAGGGTGGCTACTTTTTGTTCCCTGTGTGTTGTAAAGTAGCCACTGCTCCAACCTGCTCCCATGATTGGCTATAATTTCAATACAAATCAGTAAACTAACATTGGATTGTAGTCCATCACGGGAGTGGGCTTGGAGCGGTGACTACTTTACAACACACACAGGGACCATGGGGAGCAAAAGTAGCCACCCTCCAGAAGGAAGGACAATGTCCGCACAAATTATCATATCACAGGACGTGTCTGAAAAGACCTTTAGGGCAGGATCACCAGGTGTTCTTTTAATGGAAGCTGCAAAATATGTATAATAAAGTTTGAAATATTAACCCCTTCAGGACCGCCAGACAATATTTAAACGGCGCTGTTCTCAAGTGGTTATACCAAGATCTTGGTACCTGCCTTGACTGTCACATACAAGCATTCGGTTGTATGGAGCTGGGGAGTGTACATCACATTTCCAGCGACTGATCTCCCCTCTGATCACTGAACCTGGAAGTTTCAGTCTGTCATTTCTCCTGTGGCCGGAGCAGAAGTTGTTAGCCTCCATGTGATAGCAATAAAGTTAAGTGAAAAAAAAGTATACAAAATACAATCTCACCTTTTAGTTTACTCATTTGTGTTGACTTGTAGTCCATCACAGGAGCGAGCTTGGAGTGGTGGCTACTTTACAACACACACAGGGACCATGGGGAACAAAAGTAGCCACCCTCCAGAAGGAAGGACAGTGTCAACATGAATTCAGAGATGATTTGAGGATCTACAGCCAAGTGATGAACAAATAAGATACATTTTTGTTAAGTTGAGGTATTTCATGCATTTTTAGGATTTAACTCCTGAGTTTAGTGTCACTTTAAAATGTAGCTGCACTTTTGCATTAAAATTTGTCAAAACCCTACTATACATTTGGTATGTCTTCTTATTCGCAGCATACCTAAAAATATATGTTTTTAATATTTTTTTTACCTTTTCTATTTTTTTCTTTGGTGAAGGTCTTTGTGTAGATTCCAGGCTACTCTGAGCAGTTTGTAAATGAAAGAAGTCAAACTGAGGGACAGACTTAACTTCCTGTCAATTACATACAATGCTTCAAAATCTTTAAAGGAGAACTATGGGGTTAAGGCTTTCTCCATAGTTCTCCTTAGGGTAACGGGAGGGCACAAACTAGCGTTCTCTCGTCACCCTAGGCTCAGTATACCGCGAGCTGTAGATCGCGGTATACTGAGACGCCGCAGTATACCGCGAGCTGCTGCTCTCGGTATACTGAGATGCCACAGCTGAAGCGGATCCCGACAATTGTGCCAGGATCCGCCCAGCTGCGTGACTGATAGCTGGCTCTGCCTATCTAGAGGCAGAGTCAGCTGTACCCGCCCCCTCCCCGGTCCGTTTCGCCAGCCAACGATGGCGGATCGGAGCGGGGGGAATCCAGCCCCTCCCCTGTCACGGCAGAGAGCCGTGACAGGATCGAGAAGTGAGCGAACGCCGGTATGTGTTCGCTCACCCCCCGATCTACTGAGCCGACCTGTGACGGTCTCATTCTCACAGGTCGGCTAGAACTATGAGGTGAGTGAAAAGCACTCACCTCATAGTTCTCCTTTAACCCTTTGTTAGGACAAACAATGTTTACATCTATTTTACAACCGATCAACCCTGTAGGCTGAACACGAGAAATCACTTGATTCCCCCATCCAGGCTAAACAGCAATGTTAGAGAATCTGCACTGCTGGCTTTTGTATTCAGGCATCCGCTGACACCCACGGCTGTCTGAATATCTAAACAGTGACGGCATCTGATGGCTGCAGTTACTGTTTGGCCAACAATTTTCCACTTGGTTCCTTCTACTTTTGAAATCAAATTGTGTCAAACCGAGTGGTGCTGTTAAGCCACCCACAGCTCAAATTTCGACTGAGTCTGTATATGTAAAATGAGCAAATATGGCTGCCCCATTTGCATATATTACATAATTATACATAAAACTAGGTTTTTGTTTAATATTACATACTAATTTTACATCAAAATTATTTATGTTGCATTGGAATCTAGAAAACATAAAAAAAACTATGCATTTCTATTTTGTTTTTATTTATTTTTTCTTCTCGCAGGTTATGGGTAAGCGAATTAGAGTGGAAAGGCAGCATGAAGGTATGCAAGAGGAGCCAAAAGAAAATCATGAAGACAACTATGAAGAAGAGGAGGAGGAGGAGGAGGAGGAGGAAGACGGAGGAGTCGGGGCAAAAAGTAAACGGCGAGCAGAAATGTGATGTCGTTTACCTCCAACTTCTAAAAGTCCTTTAACAAATTCCAAGTTGGCCTTTTTCTATCCTGTTCCTTTTGTACTTTTGTACATACGGGACACTTTTATAAAAACTGTATTTTATTACATGATGCTTTTTATTAACATTAGGCTTTATCTACTATTTCTGAATGGTGAGGCTGGTAAAGTCGGTCATTAGTAAACTTTTTTCTTTTATAAATAAAAAGTGGAAATCAGTAGGAGATTAAACTCTCCTACATGTTACAATGCAGTATATGGTAGTACCAAGTATTGCCATTCTTATGACAGTGACTAGAACCCTTTATTAGGGCAGTAGTTTCAATTATTGTGCCTTATGTCTCTTATTATAAGGGGAAGTTCAGGCAGTTCACCTTGTATATTTATTGTTTGTAATATATCCAGCATTCAAGGTCATTTTGGAATAATTTCCTTGTTTCTTTTATTATGCAATGATGATATGAAATAATCCTTAAGGGGTGTGAAGGTCGTCGGCAGGAATAACTTTGTTACAAATTATGTAAACCTAATGCAGAATGGTAATGTGATGTGTCATCGCATATCCTTAGGGCCCTTTCTCCAGTGCAAATGGCATTTTCTGCTGAAAGTAGATCGCTCGCTGCAAGGTTCATGCGATGTTCTTGTATTCTAACTATGCTTTTCTCTTCTCCTCAAGGTAAAATATATATCTTATATTACCTCTCTGGAAACACTCGCTATATATGAACATTTATTAAGGGTTTCTTTCTTTTGCACAAGATCAGTTTTTATTGCCTATAGGTCTCCTATGTTTTTTTGGTTTTTAAACGTACAGGATATCACAAGCTTTCAATATTTGTCAGTGTTCTTCTACGTGATATGATGAGGATTGTGCCACAGAGTGCACCTGTTCAAGGTGCACAGAGAGTCACTGACACTCCTTGCTGCCTCATGCTTTTTCTCTCCTGAATATATGGTGAAGGTGAGCTACAGAAGGCAGCCTTTTTGAGTTGCACAGAGAGTCACTGAAACTTTTACCTGCCTTTCCTTTTACAATATATGGGCATTTGCACAGGTAGACACTGACACTTCCCGCTACCTTATGCTCCCTCCTCTCCTAAGTTAATGAGGACAGTGAGGCACAAAACACAGACTTTCAAGTTCTTAGAGCGTTTTTCACACTCCTTACTGCCACTTCAAGATATGTGGATAGGATAAGCATGATGAGCTGTAAATTATGTTTTTTTCCTCACTGTCTCAGCATACACTGGTGGCAGCAAGTGAGATCAGCAGTCCCAAATATTAGCAGCCTGTCCATGTCTATTACTGGAAGAAAAGCAGCTGGGAAGTTGGTATTTTAGGAGTGAAGTGATGCAGCAGGTAGTCAGTTTGCATTCAAGTTATACTAAGGTCATGTGCACGGACCTTGCTCATGCAGGACAAAGCAATCGTGTCTCTGGAAAAGCCCTCCATCTCAATCCCCTTTTACTCACTTTCCGAGTATTCCCCACCACTCCTTTCTCCTCTGCAGCCATCCCAATACAATATTCTGAACTTCCAGATGTGGAGGAGCATGTGACATCCTTCTCTGTGAGGGTGCTCAGGTCTTGTAGCCAATTGCTAGTACAATCGCATAACTAGGCCAATGACATCATTGCTCTCCCAGGTCACCCACACAACTCATAAGGCCAGCTGCAGAGGAGGAAGAAGTTGCAGGGGATCAAGAAGCTTTTCCAGAGACGCTGTCTTTTTGCCCTGCCTGGGAGGGGTGAACGTATCTGTTTAATATGTCAGATAGGACCATTTATTTAAATATTAGTAAAATCTCAAAATATTGCTACATGTAACCCCTTCCCTTTCAGAAAAGCTGAGGTAGAAAATAGTTTTAGGCTCTATCTTGTGTTTCTCTTGCATTTGTTTGGAAACTATATCTCCTATACAAAGAACCATTCAGCATCTTTGATGTGTCTAGCTTTCAGACTGCTATGAAATCAAACATGTTAAAGCATTGCAGACATCAGTAATACAGCCCTCACACTCCTCATTTAGAGTGGGGAATTAATGCAGATCCTGCACCCCCTATACAACTGGATTTTCTCTTTGACACTTCTAAAACAGTGCCTTAAGTGATTGCTCTCTTATAAAAAAAAAAAGAAATAATAAAACCGAACACAATGTTTAGCTCACCATGGTATCAGTGGTGCTTCAAGACTTAATTAATGCATGCTATTTACTGTGGAGACTTCATTGTCACGCTCAAAGGTTTTGTTTGATATCGTCAAAGGTTTCATTTAATATCATTAGTTTAATAGAGACGTACCACCGTCCATGCCATAATTGAATTTACTGAAGTATAGAACTGCCAATGTTGCTGGGTAGAATGTTTCATATTAACAGAATGTTGTACCATGTTCACCATTGGTAGTAACTGGAAACAGTAGAGGTAAATCATATTATCTCAGCTAAGTAGATTTCAGTTTGGAAGCTTTAGACGCCGGTCCTGTCTTTAGGCATTGTTTCTCTATTACACCATGCCTGGAGGAGAGATCTGAGCTGAAATTGTATTTTACTTACAAGGCCAACAAAAAGCATTTAAGTCTACATAGATTCATGTAAACACTGATACTTTATTTCTAATATTAGACGTTTTCCAGTTAATCTTAAAAATTGGTCAGTTCAGATGTGTATTTAGTGCATTCTAATAAAAACAACTAAAAGTGCAACTCCAAGCAAACCGCTATTATCTTTGTTTTACCTGTCGAGGGATTTGTAATTTCTGGGCAGCCATTCTTTTAATATACACTCCTCTGTAAGTCATGATGATGACTCTGCTGCTTCCTGGAGACGTAGAGGCGACATAAGAAGCTACAAATCTAATTCAGAGTGTCACCTGTCTGCTGTGCAGGATGTAACCTGTTTAAATCACAAGATTGACTGACCTGAAATACAAGTTCTTTGGCCAGTAAAATAGTAATCATTTATGAAGTTCCGCACTGTATTAAAATTATCCTTTCCTTTTCCAATGCAGGGTAGATTTTAAAAGGTCAGTTTACTGCCCTTCACAGAAGCACATACACACCTTTACTCACTCCTGTACTGCTCCGTTCAGCCACCGGGAGTGAAATACTTAACACACCCATGTATGGGTGAGCATGTGGCTCGCTCCTCATCTCCCATGTGCTAGGTAACCCAGCAATGTCACATGAGGACAGGAAAGGCGTCCGTAGTCCTGCATAGCTTGCCTCCATGTTATATAGGAGTGCTAATGTGAAGAGTGATGAACAGTGTACTTGAAATGTATTTCTTAATGGTTTCTCCACCAAGACATGCCTGAACTCTGTATGCTACCCAAAAAACCTCTACACCCTAGTCTCTGAAAAATTACATAGGCTTGCAGATAGGTAAAATTGTAGATTTAGATGGTCCCCAAGATTTCTCATGTTTTGTGGTTTGTTTGCTAAAATGAAAATGGCAAAATTACAATGAATATATATGGTGTCTTAACATAGGCTGCAGATTTGGAATTCTTGGAAGCTCACATTAGGTAGTAAACAAAAGGGAACAGATCACCACCTCCGTGTGTAAAATTATTAGGATAAATAATAAAACATATTTATGCACCTGAAACGTGTCGATCTTGCCTGACTGCAGCCGGTTGATGGTGATGTGACCGCAGGCTACCATGTTACATAGTCGGGGCGATACCATGTTGGGTTACAGACAGTGTGGCCTCTTGTTAGTTGTTAAAGCCTGATGAAAACGTTTGCTTGTCATTACATTTATCCCTTGTTTTATTTATCCTAATAAACGATTTTACACACGGAGGTGGCGCTCTGTTCCCTTTTGTTTTCTATGTTCATGGTGGAAGCCACAGAGCCTTGGATGAGCAGCCCCTCAAGTCTGTGTGAAAAACTGTTGATAACTTTGAGTATACAACAGCGTGTGGATCGTTCAGCTGGCAGCCATTAGCGCCAAGAGTTAAAGAAAACTTTTTGTCTGTCACATTAGGTAGTGTTCATATGCACTGCAATGAGTCTGGTGGTGTTGCTCTTGAGTATACCATTACTGTTTATGGTGACCAAAGGCCTTGGGATAGTCTTTAGGCTTACTGTATTGACACCAATGCTTCCTAACGCGCTATAATTCAGATAATACACATCTATTTACATATTGTATGCCACATACCTAAAAGGTTAATGACAATTTGGAAATGATTGTTTACCTCTACTCTTGAATATTATTATGCATAGAAGGATAAGCTGTTTCATCTGGTGTTAGAGAGGATGTGGTGATATTAAAATAGGTCATGCAGGGAGCCATAGTTTTTATGAGTGCAGTTGCACTTGTTTCTCTGTCTACTGTACCTTTTAATCAGGTGACAGCGCCTGTCCTACTTTTTTTTAAATTGCTGACTCTAATTATGTTTTATCTGCTTTACTTTCTTTATTGCTTTTATAAGATATTTGAGACCATCACTTGTGTGCACAATAAAAATGTTTATCATATTGATTAAAGTGCACCCACTTGGCACAAATATGTGCCCACTGAATAGTTTGTGCTCAGTGTGTGGGTTGATTTACTAAACAAGTAGAGGTTGGCAACTTAGCAAAGTGAAATTGATCAAATTAGGTGACTTTGTCTTTACTTTTAAATACCCCATCATGTGTGAGAGAAACTTAAAAACAGCATTTTTGACTGGTGAATTTAAATACTGCTTCACCTTATTTACTTTTTTTAAGTTTAGTGAACATCCACTTGCTAAGTGAACAGTTTATATCGCTTTATTCATAGAGAATCCCAGTGTTTCCCATTGAGGGGATAAAGAATAAGACTCAGTTATATTTCTAAGAAAAAAATGTTATGCCCACACATGATCCAGCCACCATGTTTATCTGCAGATTGGCCATCTCGGTAAAATCTTATAAGAAACTGCACAGTTTTATAGTTATGGGTAAGCATTTATAATTTTACATTATAGGAGAATTTTCTGGTGACTGGGAGTGGATGTAATTGTCATAATCTCCTTTTGTTACCAATAGCACACTTAGGCCTGGTTCACACCTGGGCGTTTTACAGCTCGTAAAACGTTCAACATGTGAAAACCAATGACTGCCTATGGGCATGGTTCCCACCTGGGCGTTTTACAGCGCATAGGAACTTTGGGGGGGTTTTGCCCCTCGTTGCCATTGGTATTCCCGAGTGTGGATCGGGGTTAACAAAGTGGTAACCCCGAGCCACACTCGGGAAAACAGTGTACAGGTCTTACCTTGTCCGCGATCCCCGCTGTGTCTTCGGCGGCTTCCGGGTTCCGTCCCTTGCGAGCGGCCGCATAGCAGGGGGCGGAGCCAGCGGGAAGTTTGACCACTTCCCGGCAGTTGTAAAAAAACGGCCGGCCAGGAGCTCTCTAGATCTGAGCGAGCATCTTTAGACGTCCGCTCAGCCACGCCCCTTCGCACACGCAGCTGGGCGCGCGCGAGTGGGAAATGCCCGTTATTTGAAAACGGGCAGCGATGCCCGTTAATATACAAGCGATCCGCCGGCTAGTGAGCCCGGGACCAGCATACGGTCTCTGTCACAAGGGGATCAGAGGGAGCTCGGTACACGACCTCCCTCCGGTCCCCTCTCCGCTGTCAGAATGCAGAGCTGATGTATATTACATCACTTCCACATTC